GGGCGCAGATTCTCTATCCAGACAGACAACAACCCTCTCAAGTATGTTATGTCATCAGCGAAGCTGGATGCCACAGGCCAGCGGTGGGTGTCTAGGCTGGCTGCTTTCAATTTCGATGTCCAGTATAGGAGGGGACAGAGCAACACAAACGCTGACGCCCTCTCTCGCATGTCTAACCAGGAGGTCATGCACATCCTACAGACATGCCCTCAGTGGGTGGGTGTCGACGAACAGGGGCATGGTGTGACACAGGCTACCCAGGATACTCAAAGCCTCACTGGCCATGGCACGCCTACAGGGGAGGAACTGGAACTCGGGCCACCTACATCCACTGAGCCTTACAGGGATGTGGGGATGGAATCCCTGCCCACCATGACCAAACAGGAGCTCCGTGCAGGGCAGAAAAAAGACCTTGTTATTGGCCCCGTCTTGCACTATAAGAGTATGAACCAGAAGCCGAGCTGCAGCGAGCGAATGAGTGCTGAAGGGCACGTGCGCCTTCTCTTAAAGGAGTGGAGAAGGTTAGCGGTAAGGGATGGCATCCTGTACCGCTGCGTCCAAGACAGCCAAAGGGGAGTAATTGAGCAATTGGTGCTACCAGAGGATTTGCGTATATCAGTGAAGACTGCTCTCCACGATGACTCAGGCCACCTTGGTTTTGAGAGGACATTGCACATGATAAGGGAGAGGTTTTATTGGCCACGGATGTTCCAGGAAATCAAGGCTTGGTGCGAACAATGTGAGAGGTGCTGCCTTAGGAAAACTCCAACCGCAGGGGTCAGGGCCCCCCTGGTCAGTATCCACAGCAGTGCCCCCTTGGAGCTAGTTTGTGTGGATTTTTTGACTCTTGAGAAATCAAAAGGTGGTATCGAAAATGTCCTCGTGGTCACTGACCATTTCTCACGCTATGCGCAAGCATACCCCACTAAAGACCAAAAAGCCAGCACAGTGGCTAGGGTGCTGTATAGAAACTTTTTCTGTCGGTTTGGCTTCCCAGCAAAACTGCATGCAGACCAAGGGTGCAATTTTGAAAGTGCTGTGGTGAAGGAGCTGTGTAAATGCACCGGCATCACTAAGACCCACACCACGCCCTATCACCCACAGGGCAACGGGACAACTGAACGGTTTAACCGCACCCTCATGAACATGCTGGGGACGCTAGAACCTCACCTGAAACCCCGGTGGCACGAATATGTGGATGCAATGACACACGCCTACAACTGCACCCGCCATGATTCGACAGGGTACACACCATACTACCTGATGTTTGGCAGGCATCCACGGCTCCCTGTCGACTTGGTCTTTGGGCTGTCAACCACTAATGGGTCGGGGGGATATAGCGATTATGTCCAGACCCTGCATGACTGCTTGTCACAGGCTTATGCACAGGCTAATCAGGCCTCTCGCCAGGCTAAGGGTCACCAGAAAAGATACTATGACCGACAAGCAAAGAGTCAAAGCTTCAGCCCGGGTGACAGAGTCCTGGTTAAAGTGTGTCATGTGGAGGGGCGAAGCAAACTAGGAGACAAGTGGGAGTCACGTCCATACATTGTGGTGAAGAAACAGCCAGACATGCCGGTGTATGTGGTGCGATCGGAAAATGGTGATACAGAGAGAGTAGTCCACCGCAACCTACTCACGCAGTGTATGTTTCTTCCCGTGGAGCAGGTGGGAGAGGAGGCAAGAGAGGAAATGGAGCTTGACGTGGAGGAGGTTCATGGAGGAGGGATTGAGGACAGTGGAGAGCAGGCTGGTGAAGTAATCAGACAGGATGAAGAGTCGGACATGATCGAAGACGGGGAGGCTGATAGCCTGGAAGGAGGTGTGGAAGGAGTTTCACCTGAAGCAGCAAATGGATCACTTGCCCCCAAGGGACCAGAGGAAAGGGACACAGGGACAGGACAAGAGAGTGAAGATTGGAGGGGGAATGAAACTGTCAGGGTCACCCACTCACCTCCCAGACCAAGTGAACCAAGGAGGAACTTGCCAAGGAGTCGGCATCCCCCTTAGAGACTGACTTATGGGTCGAGAGTTAACGAACCAGGGGAGGATCAGGAGAAGATAGAAAGGGGATGGAAGCTGTGGCAGAGGGCCAAAGCAAGAAGGGCTGCAGGAAACACAGACATTTTCGCATTACACTGCACATCTTCCACCACCGTTATTCTTGTATACATAGTGAGACTGTTCTGTTTTATTTTGTTTTGTTTGATGACTGGGACGCCATCACTTAAAGGAGGGGCGGATGTAAGGTAGTGACTGGAATAAGTCACAAGGTGTCGCTGTTGAGCTGCATATATGGTGTAAAATTTAGCAATTTTGACCATTTGTCCTCTGCAGGACACCGTACTTCAGATTTCTTGTTCGCGCGGGCGCCATCTTGGTTCAGTGTTTGCTGTGATTCAAAAAGGTAAGCACTGCCAGTGGCGAACTGCATCAGTTTTGTGTTGTATTCATCGCCGAGACCGTGGAATGTTGTAGAAGGCACGGTTATTGTTACTTAATGTGTATTCTGTGTATATGTGTTGTTGTATTTTGCAATGTTGATAGTCACGGAGTGTTTGCTGTGATTCAAAAAGGGCCAGCAGCAGAGTTGGAGTGGTGTTTGCCCCTGCTTCCGAATAAACGGCACGGTCCGAGCCACAAATCGAGCGCCTGTGTCCGACTGGTCTCCCTGCGGTGCACCCCAATCCAACACAAACTAACACAACGCAGAGTCCGGGGTGTAGGGAGGCCCCTGCACTGGTTGGGTTACATTACAAAGTATTGAGTTGTATTTTTGTTATTGACCAAATACTTATTTTCCACCCTGATTTACGAATAAATTCTTTACAAATCCTACTATGTGGATTCATGGATTTTTTTTTCACATTCTGTCTCTCACAGTTGAAGTGTACCTCTGGTGCAAATTACTGACCTCTGTCATCATTTTAGGTGGGGGAACTTGCACAATCGGTGGCTGACTAAATACTTTTTTGCCCCACTGTACATATGCTCATTTCACTTTGACAAACCAAACCTTTTAACTTGATGAAAAGTGATTGCCATGGCTGAAAATTAAGTATTTATTTTTTAGAATCAATGATTCCAGTCTCTTAGTGACTAGAGGGAAGTCTGTTTTGGTATGAGCATTACAGCATCAGGGAGTTTCAACGTGGCAGTAAATACACTAAAAGAAAAAAGCTTAAGCTGTAAATGCAATTAAAAGCAAATTTGATTCCTCATTTGAGTTCCAAATTTCAGCTAAAGTGTTAACCAGTCAATTTTTGTTGTAAGACAGTAAAGTAAAGGCTCCACTGAGTCACCACAGTAATTATGCGAAAAAACTGAATTGTTTACATGTATAGTCCTGCAGATGCACTTTACTGCACATGTACACAGAAAAACAGCCACAAATGGATGCAGAGCAGAATGAGGCAGACATCCATGGAAAATTAAAATTAAAAATTGAACACTCAAATTTATTAATCACCTCAAATCTAGCCCTCAGACACCCTCTAGTCCAAAGCCCTCCAAAACTAAAAGATGAGCCCAGAAAAGAGTCCCTTGTGTGAGCTGGGGCTGAGATTAACTGCTCCCTCTCAGACATTTTCTGGCTATTATCACAACAACACTGCTTTCCAAGCACCAATCAGTTCCCCAAATTATGTCAAGAAACCATTTTCAAACATTAGAAAGAAAAGAAAAAAAGTCAAAGTAGAGCTGGCCAATTTCAAAAGAAATTATGGCAGAATATCTACTCCACGGTTAGAAGCACACCAATAACAATCTTAACTAAGTACATTAGTGGTCACTCTTTGTGTAGAGTGGAGTTGAGTGGTCAGAGATACACATCCTCCTACAATTTCTAATGTTTAATGAAACAGCAATGTTTACAGTAAGTACTTCAACTCTTTATATTATATATACACTCCTTTGGCGAGGAGCGAGGCACACCCAAGGGTCCCTGAATGACCAAAACACACACATTACATGGATTCATCCAGACACAAACATGAAAATGATATATCATAGACTGATACATAACAGTTATATATTAATCGTTATACTTGATTAAATAAATTGTATAAATATTTATACCACTATTATTGTGTACACTCAAATTATTTTGGCAATATTTTTTTCAGAAGCACCGTGCCAATATAGCCACTCTGAATTTAACTGAACTGATGAGAGCAAAAGTGAGAAAGAGAGAGGGAGAGAGAGAGAGAGCGAGAGTGAGCAGAAGCAAGAGAGCGCAAGATATCTCTAAAGTTCCTATTTACTGTACACAGGCTATGGTTGTCTTGTAGCTTTTTAACGCCGCCAGCTGGTAAATACTGGTACTATAAAGTATTTCTACATCTTGTTTCAGGACAGTTTTTTTCCTCCTTCCTCAGCTAAAAGCTTTTATTATTGTTTGCATGCCTCTAAACAAAAGTACTAATTATGGCCACATGCACAATAAAATTAAGCAAGACATGCTAAATCAACCTTTATGTATTTTGTTGTGGATAAATTTACATTTTTACATCAATAAATGTGCTCTTTCTGGTATTTACTGCCACATTGTGGTGTAAATTTGTACTGCAGGTCTGAGGATCATGAAACATTTTGAAGAAAACAGGACTTCTCAATTTTTTGGTTACTCAGCGCATTAAATAACTTGTCTGAAATAAAATGACTGTTTTGCTCTTTCTATAGTTGCCAGTGTTACACTTTTATTTCTAATACATAATAAATAAATAAAATTCCATAAATAAAATATCTATTTAATTGCATTGATAATGTCTTGGGGTTTTAAATCTGTGTTGGCACACCTACACAATTGTGACAATTAGCTAGGAGCCCTAGTATAAATTTTATACTAACATTTGAAAATTGTGTTAGGTTAAGGTTAAAAAAAAATGAGCAAATGAGCAGTAGCTGTTCTCCCTAAGTAAATAAATAAATGAATACATGGAAATAAAAAAATCTAAAGGAAATAAGCATAACTCTCTTTAGTATGTGTGTATATTCCTGACCTCAGAAACAGGACTGTCCAATCCAAGGTCACTACAGTGCAGAGCCAGTAGTCCCATCACTCTGAGAACCTTGCTCCGTCTGCAAGGCATTTTTCATTTTTATTTATTATGTTAATTGTGAATTTTCAGCTTGGATATCATCTCGGGATTTTTTAAAAACATTTTCAGTTACTGATTTTATAAAACTGGTCATGGTGTTTAAGTTTTCCAGCATCCTTAGAAGAAAAACACAACATAAAGCAAAGAAAATGTATAAACATCAAATTTCTTAGAGCATGCTTAACCACTCTAGATATAATCATAGGAACTGCAGTTCATAAAACAATGTTAAAAAAAAGCAATTGGGAGAGGATGTAGAATCGTGCTTCTTCTAATTATTCAGTAGCTTTTCTTTAATCATAATGTTTTGCCACATCAGAAATTAGCACTTTAAAAAAAAGCAATGTTACAGTGTCCCCTGTTTATAGAACAAACATACATTGTATACTTACATGTCCCAGTTAGGAGCTTGTCGCAACAGGTGGACCAAAACTAGAAGCTGAATGAAGAATTGAGGAAATTAGAGTGACAGAAAGAAGGAAAAGGATAGCAAACAATGTAAATATGTAGAAAATGATGATATATTGCCACAAAGCATGGAATCTAAGTTCATTGTGACTTCTAAAAGGATTGTTAATGAGAGTGTTCGGTGTTTTAGTAAAAAGAAATTAACTTTTTTCAAATTCAAATTGTTGAGTGGAAAAGATGAGCCGTATAAAAAACAATTATCATTACTTTATTTAATTACAGATAGAAAAAGTATGGTTATATCAGTAATAATACCATAAATAAAAAACATTCTAAATATAATTTTCCTGTGCTTTTGTTAATCTTAATCTTACATTTTTTTCAGGAACTCTGTGCCCAAAATCAGATTGAAAGAGGTATCTTTATTTGAGCCCTGAATAATTCTATGAAACTGCATCCTTGTGCGGTACTAATGACTCCCACTTGACTAATGACTAGCTGGGAGCAAAAGCATGACCCACACACCTACATCCTCTTACTGAAGTTCTCTGTTGACAGGGCAAACAAACAGACAAAAAAAGACAGCACAAGGTCAGTAGAAAATGAACAAACTGGAAAACAATAGCTCATTATAAATATTCAATTGTAGACATGCCAGTGGAAAGATTTCCAACTATAATCTTCCTCAGCTAACACTAAGGATCCCTTGCTGTCATGTAGGGTTGAGATATTAAATACATTCTATTAAGCTGCACAGTTATGCAACTGTTCTCAAGAAACCCACCCAGCAGATCATATTTCAACAGGAGTCTAAAACAAATATGTTTTCCTACCAGTCTTGAGTTAATCAGCCTGTTAGCGATAACTGTATGTCCAACCACACAGCCGAGGTAGCACAGGAGGTTGAGTTTGGATCGAGTGGCCGTGGAAGTGGAGTGGCTCTGTTCTTCAATGGATGAACAAAGCTGTGATAGAAAGACAGTCCACTCTTCATCACTCAGAGACTGTAGCTTCTCACCTGCAGGAAAATAGAGAGGATTCAAGATAAAAACCAGGGACAATACACTGAGATACTTTTTTGCTTTTTTTCAGGACACTAAACTGACTTTGTGCCAGCTCAAAAAACATACCTGAATATGCAGGTACACATAGGGTTTTAGGATCATATCGCCCAGGTGTGTTCTTCAAAATCTGTTAAACAGAGCTCAAAATAGTCAATTGTAGCCATTTTTTCTACATTGCTAGTAAAGGTTGTTAATAAATGTCTTATTCTTATGTAAGAAGGAGCAAGAAAGTTTCCCACTAAGAAGACTTAAAGACTAACAGAGGTTTGACAGATGTATTTTAATGAATTAAAAAAAGAAATATGAAACAGCCATCATATCATATAATTACACGCCTTTACCTTGGGGTTGTCGAGGACTGGGGTGACAGTGAGATCAAATTCAGTGTGGAGAAGATCCTTCACACAGGGTGTAGTGTCAGTACAGTTACTGGTAGTGAGAGTAACCTGAGGTGCAATGTTCTGATTTGGACAGTCAGATGAACTGCAGTTTCTGATTGAGTTGGCACGGGAGCTACAAGAACAGGAAGAGAAGAGTATGGAGAGCAATGTATGGTTTACTATAGACATCTGAGTACCACTCGTTCTAGGTGTGTTCCTACTGTAAGAGTAAATCCAAAGCTTACATATCACTTTTGAGACACGAGATTCACATTCTTCCTCTGGAATGATTTATCTGTAAACTTGTGCACTGAAAACAGGAACAAAACTCTGTAAGGGAAACTAGGAAAGAGTGAGTACAGAATACCTGAGCAGAAAAATGGCCTCAGTGCTGTCCTCATCCAAACCACTCTTTGGCTTCAGGTCTGAAACATTATCTGGAGAAGTAAGCACGTGTGTACTTAAAGACACATAAATTTGTGGTATGGTGAAAGATGAACCTTACATCATAATAAGCAGAAATCAGATCTGCACAATAGAAACTACTAGTATAATGTAGACCTACAACAAACCAAAACCAAACACAAACAAATTCTAGTACAAAAAAATGGTAAAGCAAAACAGTGGAATATAAAACCAGATTAATGATTAATTAATGGTTTGAAGATAAATATTGTAAAAAACAGAATCTATCACACATACAATGTTCATATATACAAAAATGACTAGTGTTAAAGTAAAAATTAAAATTCAAAGTTAAGTAGCTTACTGTGGCTAAGTATTAAATGTTGTTGCTTAATCTAAACCACACAGACTTTGACGAATCTGTTACCTAGTGTGAATGACTTATTGGGCTGCAGTGTGCGGCACATTTGCAGACTCCCAGTTAACTTAGAGTCATCGTCAGGTTCTCCTTCTCTTCTTCTCTCCCTTCCGACTTCACTATTCAGGGTCTGGCTTTGGCTCAAGGCTCCAGAGGATGTGTGGTTGACAGAATTTTGGCTGTCAGTCCTTCTGTCACATGGCCTGTCAGTTGTTGTAAGAGATGATATTAGTTTCTCAGACATCCCATAAGCTAGCTGACTGAGGGCTAAGTGGCTGTTGGCAAGGCTCGCTGCTTGCCACGGATGGAAAAGGTCACATGTGTTTGTGTGTCTGTGGAGGTAGTGAGAACTAAAAAGACTTCATGGTCATTTTCTTTCTTTTTCAGGTCTGAGCACTGGCTGAAGTTACCCCTTCTAACGTGTAACAGAGAAAAAGGAAGTATTTCCGTTCAGACGGGTTCTTACTACTCGTTTTACTCGGTCAGTTGGTGTAAGTGAAAGTGCTTCCTGCAGAAAGCAGGACACATGAAGTCTACTCATGAATGCACCCAGCTATCATCTGCACTATTCTCGAATGGATCCAGACAGATATTGCAGGCAAAAAAAGAAAATTTAAAGATCAATTCAACTTAATCCAACATCGGTGTTCTTGTATGTAGCTCCATCGGATAATGCCAAGAAAAGGTCTATGCTGAAGCACATGAGTGAAAATGGCGATACAGAACCCTTTCTGCAAGCTGTTTCTTTATTAGCTAAATTCTCTGATATCAACCTTTGTCAAACACGATTCACATCCCGACTGACAGCCAAAAATAACAAGGAAAATAAATGCTGGTAATTATGTTGGACTTTTAAAATCAAAACAGATTAGAAAAATGAAAAAACATAACCTACCTGAAACTACAAGAAACAACCTCCTTGCAGACATTTTCTGCCTCTTCATTTTCTTCATTCTTCTCTTCACCTTTTTCGGCATCCTCTTCCTCCTTTATAATCTGTTTCCAGAAAGGGTGAGCCAGCAGTTGTGGCCAGTTCATCCTAAAGATACATCAAAAAATCAAATGCATTATGAGTAACACCTTACAATACAACCAGGAACTACAGCAACTCCCCTGTAAATGGAACTTTAATTATTTTATTTGAAATTACATTGTAGTTACATTTACCTACAAGTAGTATCCCAAGAATAAGGGGTTAATAAGTCAGTTTTTTATATAAAAACAAAAAAAGAGAGAGAGAGACATAATTAAACTGTAGGTAAATTTAAGCATGTATAAAAAAATTTAGGTAGTGCCTAAATTCCTGGTATTATACTGTATGTATTATACTGTATTTTTAAATACTGCATAAGTATTTTTAAGTACTGTGTAATTTCTTGGTAATTTTGTAGAAAATCAAACTACACTAAACTACAAGTCAGACTTAGCTCCATTACACAGGCCTGCAAGTTTATTTGTTCTTGTAATTTAGAAAGGGAGTCCTTCTTGCAATGCATTGGCAAAATAAAAGGACAGTTAAATAATAGAACATCCATCATGCAAGCACTCAGAAGCTTCAGTTAATGTCATTAGAATTGGGAAAAATATGATCAGGCCGTATTTCCAACCATGATTCTGGCATGACTGTTGATGCCACACGAGTTGGTTTGGGTATTTCTATAATTACTGATCTCACTGCAGTCTGCACAGCTCTGTCGAACTGGAGTGAGAAACAAAAATACCCCGTGAGAAATACCTTGATAATGACAAAAGTCTCAGGAGAATGGCCAGAGTGTGCTGACCTGACATTAAAGCCGAAAAGAGCTCTGATAACCACGCTGGGGTGAGCAGAAGAGCATCCAAAACATTTACAACTTCCAGGCAGATGGGCTACAACAAAACAGGACCATGTGTGTTCTCTCCTATCAGCCAAGAACAGAAATTTGAAGCAGCAATGGGAACAGACTCACAAAAACTGGACAACGCAATACTGGAAAAATTAATGATTATGAATAATGAATTTTAATTTCTGCTAAGGCACACAGATGGCAAGGTCAGACTTTGGCATAACTAGCATGACTCCATGAACCCAGACTGCTTTGTGTCAGTTCAGACAGGTGGTGTAGTGGTGTGGTGATTTTTTTGTTTTCAGCACACTGAGCATTCATTCATTCATACTGATCACTCATTTATTAAATCCCACTGTCTGAGCAATGCTACTGAACATGTGCATCGATTTATAGAAGCATTTGAGCATCCAGATGATGAAACTATAGCAACTGTATCAGAATTGTAAGTGTTTGTTGTGTGTGTATGAGCTTAACCTCCTCTCAGGGTTTTTGTTGAGCAACCCTTTCAGAAGACTCTGGAAATCCTGGCAGGGAGAACCTGCAGAAACCACTGTACAAAGAAGAAAATTAACCAAACAAACAACAACAAGAATAAAATCAACAATTATCTGTTAAAACTATTTTTTTCTAAATATCAAACACTATATGAAATGTGACATCTTTGTGTGCGAGTCTGTGTCTGTATATAATGATGTGGGTGTGCGAGGAAGTGTTTGTCACCTGTCTGCCTGGGAGGTGGTGGTTCCTTATTCAAGATCATCTCTCTCAATTCAGTGTAGTTGTCAGAGAAGAAGGGGGGTGTACCTGGGAAACAAAAACAATATAGAACAGTACCGTATAACATATTACAGGCCAGAATTAGTATTTTCATTAGTTTGAGTCTGTTTGCATATCAGTACCGGTGTACATGTAGTATAATATACAACCAAGAGACCAGAGATCAGACTTCATATTAGTTTCTGATCCTTCCAAAACCTCTGGAGCACTGTAAGCTGTAGAACCTGAAAATATACATACATAAATGCACACAGAGTAGTTTAAAAAACAGATAGTATAAAGTATACAATATGGTATAGTCTTAACATATTTTAATTTTTTAAAAAGTTTTTATGCTGCTATTTTTTAATCTCACCAAGATTTCAAAACAACATTCCCTACACAAGACTTGTTTTTGTCATTGCCTTAAGTGAAATACCTCTCCTAAGGTTGCACACCCAGAGCACTGGATGCAACATTAAGACCTTGCTTACATTTCCATCTGATCAACAGCAGCTACTAACAGCTGTATATCTTTAGAGCCTCTCTTATCTCTAATCAGCTGGTTTTATACAGTCAACAAATGATAGCATACAGAAACAGCATGATTACTAACCTTGTAATCTTTTCTTTAAGTTGTCAGTGTTCTGATTGCTGTCTCCTTCCTCTATCTCCTCAGATGCAGAGAACAAGGTAAGGAAATCCTGCAGCGTGTCTCCCTCTGCCTTAGACAGACAGAAGTTACCAAACTTCAGAATGCCGCTGCCATCAAGTAGGATCTATGAGCAACAGAAAGAGAAATATTACAACATTCATATATGATGGTAGCATTGCTGTTATACACTTACATAGAGATGAGTGCAGGTGCAAACCTTAGCAGGAGTCAGGTCAGAGAAAATGATTCCTAACTCATGGATGTGTTTCAGTCCTTTGACTAAGTGCCATCCAAACCTTCGTACCGCATCTTGTGACAGGCTTCCATCATGGGCAATTACAGACTCCATGGAACCCCCTGAAATTTACAGCACATGTTTGTATGCAAGTTTGGCACATGAGGTAAAAACAAAGAGAACAAAGAATGACACACCTTGCACTGCTTAAAAAAAATGTGGTTACAGACTATACCAACACTGAATATATATGAGTAATGGGGAAAAACACATTCTGAAAGGACATTTATTATTAAAAACTTAAAATATTAAAGTAATTTAAGCCTTAAGCTGCTATAAGTTGTGGTTCTCATCAAATATATTCTTTGATATTCGGGTACTGTTTATAACAACTGCCAGGAATAATGACTGACCTGTACAAAGCTCCACCACCAACCACAGGTGGTTACTTGTCTCATACCACTCGTAGAAGTTGGCTATATTTGGATGATCCAGATCCTGGGTGAGGCGTACCTTATACAAAAGTGAATCATCAGAACACTTTTATAAAGCAGGCTTTTTACGGCAAAGCTCAATGCCAAATTCCACCTAAAAATATCATGCACTAATCATTCACATGATCTTATTCAATATGAAAAGCACACTGTATATATGCTAGTGTACTGGGAGCAGTGGCCTCAGAAAGGGAGATCATCCCCTAACAGGCGGAAAATAGATTGACAGTTAGATATATCAATACTAATCACAGCCTTCTTTGGACTGTTAAAAACAACTCTGTTATTGGTATATAAAACTAATACAACTAGAAGATGTACTACTAAGTTCAAACATTGTCCTACATGGTTAGTAATCTCGGATTTCTTGGTTTTGTCAGTGCATTTGATGGCAACATAGTTGAGATTGCCCTTCCTTCTTCCTTTATAGACAACTGAGTTGTGGCCTGCCCCAAGCTCCTCGTACAGAATGAAGTTTTCCATTTGCTGTGGAGAAGAAAAAAAAGGCCTAATTTATATCTATTCACTTCAAACTTTTTTTTCCCATCAGTGAAAAACAGAAGCCTTACAGTAATTCAAACTATACCATGCAAGTTGTACAGTACGTATGGAATATTATCTGCTCTTGCACGCGTTTTGATAAATGGGACCTCTGGGAATCTTGTCATAAATCTGTTTTAACAACATCCAAATACATATATATATTTAAAGGTGGGGTACTATATTTGTTGGAGAGCCACACCTGTAAAAAATCCGCCTGATTACCTTTAATTAGCGGAACACCTGTTTTACTACAGCAGCTTCATTAGAGTCAACCACTTTCATAACGAACTCTTAACATTCACCCAGAAAGACAAGACAACAAAGTGTGTATTTTATGCTTAAAATAAATAATTAACCTTTATGTGTGAAAAAACATATATGTTATGAGGCATTAACGTAAACTTTAAAATAACGGTTGACCTCGGGGGCTTCATGGTCTGTTGTACGTTCAGGAGCTCAGGTAGTTTGCACTCTTTGAACAAAAAAAGTTAACAGTTGAAGTGAAAGTAATTATAAGAGACCTGCACACGCCTATACACAGGCTCATAAAAAACATTTGCGATTAATGCTGAGCTTGTTATTTTTTTACACTTCACATTAAAGTAGCTTGAAACCTACCTCTTCAACGACCCGCTGTTTGTGAGCGGAAGAGTGATGGGTCGCATTGTTCCAAATGGAAGAGTGGGGGGTAGTGAAAATGTTGGCATGAAATAAAGGCTGTATCTTCTCGTCATAGTCATTATATGTGCATACAGATAAGTAATTATATTTAATAAAATGTTTCGGTTTAAATAAGATATAAGCAAAACTGTGATTTTGTGAAAAACGCTGTATTAGTTTTAACCTGATCCACCTCCAAATGGTATATTCCCACGTTGCTAGGATACTAGAGTGAACACAACAGACAGCGGGCGCTTGGAATCCAAATTAAAGTGGCTGTAATGGCGTTTTATAATAAACTATAACAGAGAAATTTATAAAACTCAGTTTTAAATTTGTGTTATAAAAATAATTTTCAGAGTACTTCTGAATATTCCGGAGGTAAGCTCTAACTCTGGTCATACTCCGGTCTTCGGGGTCTAAATGCGGGCATACACACAATCCATGTGAGAGTGTAGAATGACGTCATTAATTAAATGACATTGGCAGACAAAAGGCCTTACAGTGTTTGCCAGCCCACAGGGCAGCGGGGACACTGGTGAATTAAGTTAAAACTGTGTGAAATGTGGTCACGTGTGAGACGTTTTCCATTGTGGCTTCGTAAAAGGTGATTGACTTTATTGAAACTGAAATGTTTTTCTAAACCTAACCAAACGGTTTTGTTTCCTCACTCTAATCAAACTGTCTGGAAATGAGAATGAATAAATAAATTGTTTTTAAAAAATGTTTGAAGCTGGCTTACGAATAACTTAATAAGCTAGGGATAGAAGTATGTCAGTCTTTTGCGGCAAATTTCTCTCCATATAAGAGCAGGGAACGGTGGAAATCTGCATAAATTTAAAACTTCCCAACTAGCTAGGTTACATAAAAATGCCAGGGACGAATTCCGGAGAACATATTTCATTCAACAAAATAAAAGCCAGTGATGCTTTCAATGTATTTACCATAGTTTTTTGTTATTGCAAAGTTCAAGTAAAGACAACAGTCATTACATTTCTTAACCCGGCTGTGTAACCCGACTGTGTCAACTGAGGAAGTTCAGGGTCTCTCCAAAGATCCTCAGGATTTTCTATACAGGCGCTGTGGAGAGCATTTTCACAGAACATCACATTGTGGTTTGGGAACAGCTGTGTTAAGGACCAAAAAGCTCTCCAGAGAGTGATCCGTACAGCAGAACGCTGCTGCAGGATTGCTCTCCCCCCGCTTCAGGACACCTAAACCAGGAGATGCCGGACTAGAGCAGCGCAGATACTGAAGGACCCGTCCCATCCTGGCAACAAACTGTTCCAACTTCTGCAATCCGGTAGAAGGTTCCACATCATCCGAGCAAGGACAGAGAGACTCAAGAGAAGCTTCTATCCCCAAGCCATCCGGGCCCTAAACACACACACCCGCCCTCTCACATCATCTATAATTGACTGAGACAGGACTCTCTTCCAAACACTCTAAACCCAGGCACAATGTTCATTTCAAATTTCTTTAATTTTAAATATGTTTATATTGTCTATTCTGTAAAATAGTCAGATTGTCTATTCTTATTAATGTACAGAATTCACCTGCTTGCTGCTACTACTGCACATTCACCTAATGTATATACTATATATATATAATGTTCTTCCTCTACCCCCCCCCCTCCCTATTTTTGCACATGTCGAGGAGCGTGTCAGGTTACATTTCACTGTGTGTTATACTTGTATAACTATGCATGTGACAAATAAAGAACCTTGACCCTTGAACTTTGTAAATACACAATGACAGCTTTCCTGGTTCAATGAAATAGATTGTCTTGACGCATGCTCAATCATCAATGTAAGTAAATCCCAAAAAGTTGATTCTGTTCATCTGGGAATGAAATAGTAACTCCTATGCAATGCCACTTAAATTTATGAAAAATGTGTATGTGTCCATACACTGTAATATAAACAAGAAAATAAGTAAAGTCCTACTCTGAAAATGAAAATGGGGAAGAAAAAAAAATCAGACATTGTCTAGGTAAATGATTTTTCTCACTATCCGTTGTATTATGTTAATTATAGTTTTTTATGTCCTCTGAAATGTGAAGAAGGACGGTGTAATATAAATCTATGGTTTGTCAGATAAATTTAATTTCAATTCAGATTTGATTTATTTTCATTTAGATCTAATTTATCTTCGACACACGAGCCATTTATAAAATTTATACTGATTTTACTGCATGTTCTAGTCGATATTTCGTCAATGGAGGTTCACCTCATGTAGTTTGACAACGAATACTGACATTAAGTATTTTATTTTGAAATCTCACAGACCGGAAGTATGTAGTGAGTTTTTCCCGCTTGTATTCAGCTGTGCTCGGTCAGCAGCTTTGTTTCAAGCGCCACACATTCGCTCACTCTTGCCGAGGAAGTAAGAAAGCGGCACAAGTTTTGTGAACAGACACGGGGTTTTGATTCAGATTACACCCGTCGCTGGTTTGCTTGTCTTATTTCCAGACTCGTGTTGAGCTGGTACTGTGACCGGCAGCATCACGGATCATTTTATACCGCCACAGTGTGAGCAGGGTCCGACGGAGCCGCTAAAGTGTCCTTTGGTGTTCGCCCCCACCCCAAAACAGAAACCGGAATCATTTGGACTCTTCGGGGAAATTAGCGCCACAGAAGCGGTAAGAAGTGTTTCACGGTGCTGTGTGTGCAGGTTCGAAAGTTTGCCGATCATGTGGAGCAGGTGCAGGTTGCCACAAACTGGTACCCCTGAACTGTCACCCTAAAAAAACGACGTGAACCCTCTGTGCGTTAATATGCGGTGCGATGTTTCACTGCATTTCCTTTATACGATTTTGTTTTAAGTGACCGTTTTTGTAACCGAACTAATCCCTTGAGCTAGATCGACAGCCTAATAATGAAGCCGTGTTTGCACGAGAGCCATCTGTCTCATGTATTGCCACTGTTTCTAGTCCTTGCCTGTCGCTGCTGCTTTGGGGTGGGCACTTTTAATAAGATTAAGGTAAGATTTAGGTTGATTTAATCTTATCACAGTAAACCTGTCTTCATTCATTAAAAACAGCCGAGGGTCCCTCGGTCTTCACGAGCGGGCTGACAGATTACCACAACCTCAACTTTTGCCCTTAATGTCAAGTGACATGAGGTTATTATTATCATTTCTCAGTTTAGAGAGTTGGATCGTTGCCTCTGTGAATAAAACCCCTATATAAAGTTTTTTGGGAACAAATTGGCAGAAAATGTATCAAATTGAGCTTCAAAATCCAGTCAGAAAAAGGGGCACTCTGCCAATACACTCAATTAGGGAAGAGCCCACCAGAGAAGTCACAGCAACACAGTACTGTAAATTCAATCCATAGTACACTAAACTCTTGCTCCATTTATATACTCTCTAGAGGCTTCTTGCATCATATATACCATGTTTGAGTAGGCTGCTATACCAAGTTGTTCACACATAGTAAGTATCCCTTCACTGACTTCCAGTGAAGCTAGGTATCTTTCCTGTTAGCATATAAGGCTCCACATGGACAGGTCCCTGCTTATATAGCAGAGCCTTTTAAACTTTATCACTGCAGCCAGTGTCTCTGATCCTCTAACCACAGTCTCCTAACTATTCCTGGCTCTACTTTTAAAATGAGAGGCGCTCATGCTTTGAGGTTGTGGCACCCAAACTGGGGAACAGCCTTCCTCAGCCTATCAGGTCAGCCGATTCCATTATTAGTTTTAAACAACAGCTGAAAACACATTTTTATTGGTTAGCTTTCTCTTAATCTTTTCCTCTTTATTTTGGGATGTCGTTTACAGCTCTTTGTATGTATGGAAATATGCATGTTGGAATGCATGCCTGACCACATGGCTGATTACGTGTCTGTATGTCTGTATTTGAACATGTATACTTTAAAGTGTGCATTTTATCCAAACTGTGACGTGCTACGTAACTCTGTGTCTTGAAAAGTGCTATACAAACACACTTATTGTTATGAAGTGATAGTTTTCAGGCGCAACGTTTCTTTGTCGTTCCTAGGAAGCTAAATTAAGGTTCCACTTAGTTTGCCAACTAACAGCACATGATCTGTGGATGGTCTGCGTACTGTCTCACTGCTCAGACACACAGCAGAACACACTGTTAACGCTGTGTCTGCCAAGGAAGTTCACACGGCGTTACTGACAGATTGACTGAGGTGTCTCTGGTTGTTGTTTTTTTTCTCAAAGAGCTGTTAGTAGTAATAGCCAAGCCCCTCAATAAGCCAGAATGAGCCTCTTTCTTAAGGACTGCAAAATGTACATTGATTTATTTTGGATAAGAAATATTTCTCCAACTCATAATCAGTCAGCACCCAGACCTCCATGTTGATGTAACACTGGTTACAAATGCTCTGAAAAATCCAGAATAAGTCAAAGGTTGCTTTTATGAATGAGACTCTGAGTGTTAAGGACCTTCAAACATCTCTTACTTCACTGGGATTGTACTTCA